TTGACAGCGTACTTGGGCCTTAAACCCTTGATGCCCAAGGCCGAGATATCTATCTCGGCCTTGACTTTTGTCATGGCCCGATCGAGGGTCCACTCACACCCCTCCGGAATGGTCAGCGTGATCGCCGACGCCGGAGAGATGCGAGGGAGATTCACCCTCGACCGGGACTTTGGCCCCCCCCTTACCTGCCCCCTTCAAGGCCCCTCCCTTACTCTTCTGGGTTTGGGAGGGAGCCTGGGGGGCCTTCTTGGCCGCCTCCTCTTTGGCTGCCGTCCTCTTGGCCTTGCGGCCCAGGACCCTCGTCCATGTCTCCGCCGTTTGGGCCGGGGAGCCGGACGAAGGCTGTGCCGCAACAGCCGCCACCTCCTTGGCAGGCTGAGGTGAAGTCTTCTTCACCTCAGCCTTCTTCCTCGCGGGTCCACTCCTGGCCCCTTTTGAGGGAGGAGGAGTCGGTCCGGCAGGAGCCGCTTTCGCCCTCTCCCTCAGGGCTGCCAAATTTGGCCCGCCCTTGGTTCCGGGTGGAGCGATAGTCTCCACCCGGGTGACCCTCGGCCCGGGTCTGATCTCCGCCAGGATCTCCTGACGGAAGGCCCCGAGCCTCCGCTCCAGTAGAGCCTCGATCCTTTGGAACGGATCGAGGTCCTCCTCCCTCTTTGCGGCCTTGCTCGCCCTCATTTCCGCACGAGGGGGCAAGGTCTCCTCGTGTGGGGTCTGAGTGACCCCCCACGATCCTGCCTCCTTACTCCCCGCGTTGGCGAGTGGGAGTTGGGTGGGTGCGACGAACTCTTCGTCGTCGCACACCACCCTCCTCTTCTTCACCCTTCTCTCCTCCCTTTGAGGGAGGGGGTCGGGCGTTGGAGGCGGGACGGACTCCACTTCCATCCCCGCCTCCTTCCGACCCGTTGAGGGGCCAGGGACTCGCCACTGCACGTCCCTTGGCATAGCTGCCGCCAAGTGCTCCTTGAGAACCTCCACCATGGCCTTCAGCTGAAGGACCTCCTGGTGGAGGTACTCGTTCCTCAGGCGGAGGTCTGCATTCTCGGCCCTAAGGCCGTCCGCATCCCCCGCCTGAACAACCCGCCTGTGCAGCTCCTCAGTGCACTCCCGGACCGTCTGCGCCGCATCTTTGAGGTCCCTTTTCAGGTCCCCCTTGAGATTAGCGCTCTTCTTCGCAATCCGCTCGACCTCCGCTGCCGCCCCGTCTAACTCGCCGGAGAGTGCCTCCGCACTTCGCCGACGCGGGTCCGCCTTTGCGGCCCTCTCCAGGGACCTCTTGTCCCGGGCCGTCGTTGCCTCCGGGTTGATCGAGGCAGAGGCACCCCTTCGGAGGACGACGCCTATGCGCGCCGCCTCCTCCTTGAGTCGCCTCTCCTCGATCTCCTCCACCGCCATTTTGATGGCGAGGCGTTTTTTGCGGGACTCTTCGTTCGCCCGCCCGACCC